AACATTGGAAAGGAAGCACTGGGGCTCTGAAGCGGCATTGAGCATTCTCTCTCCCAGGTGGTTCTTTCTCATATGCCCAAGGTCTACCTGATCGCCATATACAGGGAATTTTTCCCCAGGTCAGGTTGGCAGTGACCTTGGGGCGTTTTTGCTTTTATGTGCGGTGTGTGGGTTTGCCAGCGTTATCCAGGATTATCTGGTATATCTTAATTAATCATTTCCCTGCCTTTGCTGGGGCCTTGAGCATTGGTGTGCCTTGGTCCTGCCTGTTCTCTGCCCATTACACTTAATAGTCTAGCGTCTTTGGGCTGTAATGCTTTGGTCTAATTTTGGTTTTTGGGTTTAGTGTGCAGATATTGAGTGGTGTTGGTGGCCTGTGATGTGCAAGAGATCAGACTAGATCAGGGTTGGGAAAAACTATGGCCCGTGGGCCACATCCGGCCCTCGAACTCTCACTGGGGAGCGAGGTCTGGGGCTTGCCCTGCTCCCACTCTCCAGCCAGGGAGCGGGGTTGGAGGCCGCTCCGCACTCGAGTGCCAAGGCTCCCGGAAGCAGCAGCATGTCCCCCCTCTGGCTCATACATTTAGGGGCAGCCATGGGGCTCCGCATGCAGCCCCTACCCCAAGCGCAACCCCCGCAGCTCCAATTGACCAGGAACTGCGGCTAATGGGAGCTGCAGGGGTGGTGCCTGCAGATAGGACAGTGCACAGAACCGCCTGGACGCACCTCTGCATAGGAGCCGGAGGGGGGATATGTCGCTGCTTCCAGGAACTGCTTGAGGTAAGCGCTGCCCAGAGCCTGCACCCCTGAATCTCTCCTGTGCCCCAACCCCCTGCCCCAGCCCTGATCCTTCTCCTGCACCCCAACCCTTTGCCCCAGCATGGAGCCCTCTCCTGCATCCTGAATTCCTAATTTCTAGCCCCACCCCAGAGCTCGCACCTCCAGCCAGAGCTCTCACCCTCTGCCCCAGCCCTGATCCGCCTCCTTCCCTCCGAACCCCTTGGTCCCAGCCTCAAGCACCCTCCTACACCCCAAATCACTCAGCGCCACCCCAGAGCCCGCACCTCCAGCTGGAGCCCTCCCCCACACACCCTAACCCTCTCCCTCTCCCACACCCTGAACTCCTCGTTTCTGGCCCCAGCCCAGAGCCCGTACCCCCAGCCAGAGCCCTGACCCCCCCCTGCATCCCAACCTCAATTTCGTGAGAATTCATGGCCCACCATACAATTTCCATACCGAGATGTGGCCCTCAGGCCAAAAAGTTTGCCCACGCCTGGACTAGGTGATCTGGTGGTCCCTTCTGGCCTTAAACTCTATGATTTAGGAATCTAATGTTAAGCAAGAGAGCTTGAAAATTAGGGTCCCTAAATTTTACTGTTACTTATTAAGATGAATAGGGCAGTTAACGGGTGCTGCTGAGTACAGTGCTTGTGAGGGGCCCAGCACCTTCAGTTCCCACTGAAATTAACAGGAATGAAAGTTGCTGAGCACTTGGCAGGATTTTGGCTTTAGAGCTAATATTTCAGGCTATAGCTATTTGTCTGAAAACTGGGAAAGACAGTGCCACACTGATTCACATGCGTAAGGCTATCATTATACCCAGAAGAGCTAGAAACATTCTGCATCCTTATTTTAAATGAAAGCAGAAAATATTGGCTATACCAACAGTCTACGAAATATCTTACAACTTCTGCGGTGTGTGTTTCTAGTGGCCCTTGAGTCCGCCAACTGTAATTCTGGTTTTTGTAATCATGGCACGTGTCCATCACTCACCGACTCATTGCTTAGGCAATTGAAAGATTTTAACCAGATTCAGTCACTGTTGAGTTGCTCTGAGTTTGCCCTGTGACCTAGAGGTGAAAGGTTCTGTACCCATTAACAATCTTCTGAACCAACCAATTTCAGTCTCCGGATTTATATTCATAGCAGTGATTCATTTCTTATGTGCTGCATCACATGACATCACTAGGAAAGTAACTCATTGCCTTGTACAAAGAACACCCTGGTTCAAAGGTAGGAGGGAGGATGAACAGAGATATACATTCAGAAATACTAATTGCTCCCTTGAATGGGAATGCTGACTGCTAGAGAAAATTTAGACCAGCTTTTCATAAGAGCTTTTGACACACACAACTTCATACTGAATAGATGAAAGCGAGAGAGTGCACACAAGAAGCATCTTTTAAATTAAGTACTTCACTTTTATGCCAAGTGAGCTAATGGAAAATGTTATGGGTAGACAGAGTCAAACAAAGTTACTAACTTTTATACGCATTGTGTGTGTATGCAGTGTAATACATAGCATGTGTATTGTTTGTTTGGTCCCTTTGTGCATATGCTTTATGGTAGTATTCAATTACCTGACCACATACAACTTCTCAAATACACACACAAAAATACATTAGAAGTACACTATTAATATTACAACTCAAGCACTTAAAAGTTAGAGAGTGCCATAATGAGGAGCCCAGAGGGGGAGCAACCTTCAATCAATCTCAGGGCTTGACTTCACTACCGGGGTAAGTCGACCTAAGTTACGCTACTCCAGCTAGGTGAATAATGTAGCGGGAGTCGACGTAGCTTAGATCGACTTACCGCGGTGTCTTCATTGTGCTGCATCGATGGGAGATGCTCTCCTGTCCACTTACCTTAATCTTCTCAGGGAGCTGGAGTACCGGGATCAACTGGAGAGCACTCTGCCGTCGATTTAGCGAGTCTTCACTAGACCCACTAAATCGGGTGGGCAAACTACGGCCCACGGGCTGGATCCAGCCCCTCAGGGCTTTGGATCCAGCCCACGGAATTGCCCCCCGTGGTGCCGTGGGCCCCATACCGGTCTCAGATGCAGCCGGCACTACGTACCCGCGGCCCCCGGGTGGGAGGGCAGAGGATTCCGTGCGTTGCCCTTGCCTCCATGCACCGCCCCCTGCAGCTCCCATTGGCCAGGAGCAGGGAACCGCGGCCAATGGGCGCTTTGGGGGAAGTACCTGGAGGCGCGGCAAGGGCAGCGCACATGGAGCCCTCTGCCCCCCATCCCCCAGGGGCCGCAGGGCTTCCTGGAGCGGCGTGGGGCTGGGGACAGGGCAGCCGCTTTAGGTAAGTGGCGCTGGGCCGGAGCCCGAACCCCTCCTGCATCCTGCCCCCCAACCTCCTGCCCTGAGCCCCCTGACACACCCCCACCCCTCCTGCACCCCAACCTCCTTCCCTGAGCCCCCTCATACGCCCCGCACCCCTCCTCTGCCCCAATCTCTTGACCTGAGCCCTTTCCTGCACACTGCACCCCCTCCCACACACTGCACTCCCTCCTGCACCCAGCCCCCTGCTCTGCATACAATTTCTCCACCCAGATGTGGCCCTTTGGCCCAAAAAGTTTGCCCACCCCTGTGCTAAATCAACCCCTGCTGCATTGATTGCAGTAGCATCAATCTCCCCATAGTGAAGACCAGCCCTCAGTTCTTCCCAAACCCCCATCCCATCCCCCACACCAGCTCCTTGTCCCCACTCTCTTTGCCCAGCCCGTCCCAATTCTGCCCCCACACCTTGCCTACTCATTAGATCTATCTCACCACCTCCTTCCCTTCACCCAGTCCCAGGGGTTCCCAGTCCCCTTGCCCAGCCAGTCCAAGTTTCTCTCTCCTCCCCTCCCCTGCCAGTAGTCCCAGTCTCCTCCCCTGTTCCCCTCTTCTACCCAGGTTCGGGGAGCATGGGGGGCAGAAGTTTCTTGAAAGGTTTCCAGAATTTTTAACATGAGCAAAACAACTTATATTTCCCTAGTCTTGATCTCCGCAATGGCTGAACCATTTTGGCTGAAATTTTCTAGAAAAGTTCAGACTGAGGCATACATCTGGCATGGAAATTTTAGCCCAAATAGATGAAGTTTGGAAAAGGCATAAGTAACTGAAAACAGGGTCTTATAGTGGGAAGTGTTGGGTATCCTTAACGATAGATGGTGCTACCAGCTTTGCCTGTAATAAGGAATTTTAAAAAACTTGTGATGATGATCTGCTCACAGTTGAAGAAAGGTGATAAACATAACCTCAGAATAGTGTCTCTTCTTCTTAGTATCAAATTCTGAATGAGGTCCATAGGATTAAAGCTTCCACAATAGTAACAATTAGAAGAAATGTACAAGATTGTAATTTCATTGACATCAATGGGAATTCAGTGCCAAACTGCTCTTTTTGCCTTTTGTATGTTACACACTATGAGTACGTTGTGTCTGGTGGTAATGAAGGTCAAACTAGAATGTAAAGTAGAACTGCCTCTCTCGAGGTTAATCCATGTAACACCACCTTCAAACAAGTAATTTTTATGTATGTCTTACTTTATAAAGGTAGCTGTTAATTCCACATTAGCCAGGATGGTTAGTAATCAATCTGCCTCTGTCTCCTCCATCAGTTCTGATAGTAGTTTAATGGATAGTCCCACATTTTCTCTCCAAACAGAATTCTTGTTATTTCATAATAATCCAGGGGTAGCATTTGGGGCAATATTAGATGGAAAGGCAGTTGCGTTCCTCATGAGACTACAGGCCTTAAGGAACTGTGATTCCTGGGGTGAAATTCTGGCCCCTCCGAAGTCAATGGCATAACTCCCATTGACTTCATTGGGGCTAAGATTTCACACCACTGCCTTCTCCGGTTCCCAAAGCATCTGTTAATGTAATTTCCAAATGGGGCCAATGTTTTATTAGGCATACTTATAACTTGAAAGTGTATTTTGTTTGCTAAGGATTAGGACCCTCGACTTTGACTAGCAGGACTAGTATACTGCAACTGATTTGATGGTTTGCCTAAACCATTGACCACCTTCTCTCCCCTCATTTTCCACCCACCATCCTCCAAAAGAGTATCTGTATATCTTTTGTTGTCTAACATCTGTTCTCTTTTTGTTTCAACTAATGGTTTTGATATTAAATATATCTATTTTCAATTCATATCTAAAAATGTGAGACCTATATCCATCAAGCTAAATATCCTTCACTTTTGCTGTGTTTCTAGGCATTGCAAGGAATCTTCTGGAATTCCTGGTGAAGAGAGCTGCCTAAAATAGTGATATGAAAAGTCCCTCATTCCATTTTGAAACTTGAGCCTAAGGCAAGTAACTCTATGTAGTTCAGAGTGGCATAGCCGAGGCTTGGAAATCTTATATCCAGGTAAGAAATATATTTTTCAGACTGTATTTTAATTTTGAGCTAGCAAAAATTCCTTTTAAAGCTGAAAGACACCACCTCAGTTTCATGTTCACAAATCTACATCCACTAGGGAGCAGCCTGCTTGAGATCTCTGTCATGTGTTCTGTTTTTAAAAATGCACTGAACTTTAATTGTAGCATTCATAACTAGTTTCTCATGTAGCCGGAAAAATATAGAAACATTATAGTATGTCACTAACAAAAGGGAAAGAGTGAAGTTTCCATATAGAGAATATCTGTTTACCAGTACAATAATTATTTCTTAGTACCAAATTCATTTTGGCTAATTACTTGTAAAGGCTAAAGGGTGGAAAATAAATAAGAAGTATGAACAGCAATCCTAGAAGTTGTACTTGTTTGGGCTCTTCTGTACTACAGCTACAAACCTCTCAGGGGACTCGACTAAAACACAGTTTTATTGTGTAGCATAGACCGGACTTTCACCATATTTCTGTTCTATGTTTAATGAGAACTTTGTGGTGGATGGATGGAACATACTTACCTGTAGAAGTTGGCTGAAAAGCTCTAGGAACAGCTGATGTGGAAGACGAAGAAATCTGTGCAGAACATCCAAATTAAAGGGCCGCAAACTTCAAATTTTTAAAATGACTATTGCATGATAAAATAACTTTTCTGATGACATGCCTTTTAAATAGGAAATCATCAATTGTTTTAAAAATTCCTTTTAGAAAAATTGCAAAGATATATTTCTGCTCAGCTGTAGTTTTATTAATATTTATCGTTTATATTACAAGTAGTGCCCAGAAGATCCCGACCAGGGCTCATTGTGCAGGGACTAGATAAACACATTCAAAGACATAGGGTGAAATCCTGGCTCCAAGGAAGTCAGTGGTAAAATTCCCATTGACTTCAGTACAGCTGGGAATTCACCCAAGATCCCTGCCCTGAAGACCCTGAAAGGGTCTTTTAGACATACCTGAGAGCAACACCTCAAACATACTCCTGCCCTCCTTGCCTCATCCTACTTCTTTCCATTTCTTGCTGCCTGTTGCCCATTCAGATTCAGTTTCAGCCTTGCTGCTGGTTACTGGTAAGCATCGGTTTGGCAGGGTTCAGGGAAGAATGTACACCATGAACAAAACACAAAACTGATTCTTATACACAGTACTGTCAAATACAGAAAGTGAACAAACTGAAAAAATATTTTCCCCTCTAGTATTTCAGTTACAGTTACCTTAGGGGATTACTGGTACCTATGGTAAGGACAAAATTTTGAGATGGAAATGTAATGTTTGAGTGGTGGCATCCCTTTTAAATAGTATTTTAAAAGTCTAATTTTACACTATAAGAATAATGAGCAAGTAAAGGCTTCATAAAATATGGTATCGAATAATTCCATAGTGGCTAGTGGATATACTTACAGGAGGTTTTTATGATTCATGTACAAAGTTTAAGGTACCATAAGCTATCAATAATTCAGGGAGTGTGTGGGATTGAAACGTGGTCTTGAACGCTATTACTATTTCCAGCAAATCAATTTGTTCCCTTTTTTGGTGGGAAAAGGGGGTGGTATTACTAACCAGAAACACATGGCATGAAACGGTTGCCAAATGTTCCAGTGAAAATCAAGGGCATACTTCATAATTATGAAGATTGTGTTTGCCCTAGTTTATTTTCCCTTCACTGATGCAACTGTAACTGTTGCTGTAAATTGTATGAATAATTGATCAAGGCAACTTCACGTGTTGCCTCAAGTGATATTATGCTTATTGCTTTTCAAAACCATACTTCATTCTTTGTACCACAGCTTTACTCATGTGCTTGTGATTTTTCTGATGTTTCTTTCCCCCCCAAAGGGAGTGCTGGCTTTTGCTTCAATTTCCTCCATTATTTAACGGAAAAGTTCAAAAAATCAACAACATATTAAAAAAAATAGAAAAGCATCCATGGTCCTGGGAACGGTGCAGTATACACATCTGTTTTCACATAAGCATGAATTGCAGGCTTTACAAATATTAAACATGTAGCTCTTGCCACATACTAGCTAAAGTGTTCCGTAACTTGAGACAGTATTTAAAATGAAAACAAAACTATATAGTTTCTTTACCATACTAATGGAAAACATTTAATTTACCTTCTAAAGCCAACCAAAAGAATGACACAATTCTGTTGAAACAGATTTATGATGCCTTTTCTCCCATAGAAATCTCAATACAGCCTGAAGGTGCTGTCATGGGATCTGGCTGGCTGGCTGAGCTCCAGCTGTGTTCAAAAGTAAACTTCTGTACCGCAAACCAAAACTGATGACTTTGATTTCTTTAGTCATCACTTTGTTTCTGAGATATTATGGGGTGGACTTTTATTCATTGCTTTTCGCTGCTTTGTGTCTACTAAGTATGTACTGAAATTTCAGCCTCGCAGATTTCAGCCTCTTTATGATTTAAAAAAAACCAAACATTTATGTGACTTCAGCATTTCATGAATCAGAAGTGTTCAAAATATTTAGCCATCGTGGAGGTACTGATGAAAGCAATCTCTCTATTTCCATCAATTGCACTTTGATGGAGCTTCACCTTAAAATACATTTGTGCAGAGGAAAAATGCCTTTGTTTTTCATCTGAAATACCAATCCTTCATTCAAGAGGAGAGTTAAGGGTCAGTATGTCCTTTCTGTTCTGCAGAGGTGGCTTTAGACATGGGGAATAGGCCTTCCTACCCATTCTTTTTTCTTTTCTTTTTCCCCCTCCTGCTAAACAAGATCAAATGTGGCAGTGCAATTTTTGCTAAATCCAGTTGGCTCTTACAATAGAGCCATTTATCCTGCAGAAGTAAAGCTAACATAGCAGGTTTTCATATTAAACCAAATTTTATGTCTTTGTTTTGAAGACAGTATCTTCTTCAGTGGATTTTTTTTTTAACGCTCCAGACTGAACATTTGAGTAATGGCTTTGTCTTTATTTAGATTGTGGACTGTTGTAGCAGGTACCTCTCTTTTGTCTCAGCCTCTTCCATAATTGGACACCTTTCCTATTTAAGGAGTGTGGGAAGGGCAGGATGTTCCAGGATGAAAACCACCCTTGTCGTATGTTTGTATAGCACCCATTACAATGGCCCCTGATCCTTCTACATCCCTGGCTAAAGCCTCTATTTCACTTTTGTTCCCTACACATATACATTCCCAGTCCATTGCACCTCCAGCCTTTTATGGACGCACAGCAGTACAAATTGGAGAGAGTCCAGAGGAGAGAAACAAAAACGATAAAAGGTCTAGAAAACCTGACCTGTGAGGAAGAGTTAAAAAAACTGGACATGTTTAGTCTTGAGAGAAGACTTCTGATTGGGAACCTCATAACTGTCTTCAAATATGTTAAGTGCTGAAATAAAGAGGATGGTCATCCATTGTTCTCCATGTCCACTTAAGGAAGGACAAGAAGTAATGGGCTTAATCTGCAACATGGGTGATTTAGGTTAGCTGGAAACATTTTTTCTAATATCTATCAGGATAGTTAAGCTCTGGAATAGGCTTCCAAGAGAGATTGTGGAATCCCCATCATTGGAAGTTTTTAAGAAGAAGTTAGAAAAACATGTGTCAGGGATGGTCTAGGTATACTTTGTCCCGCCTCAGTACAAGAGGCTGGACTAGATGACCTATCAAGGTCCTTTCCAGCCCTACCTTTCTATGATTCTGTGATACTAACATTCACCAGAGGGAGTCTAGGACCTAGTGTCTCTTGGACCAAGGCTTATCTCTGACAAGCTGCAGTTTATGTTCCAAACTTAGAAATTGCCTTTCTAGCAGAGCTACTAGCTCTACTTTCTAGGCTACTTTTGCTGCAGGTCTCTTCCTTGTCCTAGCCTCTCACTGTGACCTACCAGTCACAGGGGACATGAAAGGGATAAGGAGAGGGGGATATTTATATAAAGCGTTATCTGGGAAGTGGCTTCTACTAGACAGAGAGAACTTTCCTCAGGCTATTAAATGTGACAAATTGGGTCTGGTTGTCTCATATAGGGGGAGGGTTGGGGTGTGCATTGACGGTCTGGGGGAGGCATGAAAGAAGTTTAGGTGAATTCTGGCTGGAGGTTATAGGTATGCAGACGGGCTGAGAAGTCAGGAAGGGTCTGGACACCTAAAACAGAGAGATGGTCCGAGGGTTGATAAAAGGGACTGAGTGTGATACTAGAGAGCAGAGGTTCCCTGGAGGATAAGAGTGAAGGAGTCTGAGGAAATACAGGGCCTTGGTTCCAGCACAGGCAGCAAAGTGCTATGCTTCAGCACCTCACTGCCTGGGTTATAGGCTGTTCTGACAACAAACCCATTATCTGTCTGTTTCTTTTGACACACACAAAAATAATAATCATGAATATAGTTGTATTCAAACATAGAATAAGTATGCTAATTGTTGTATTACTTTTTTTGTTTGAAAAGTAGCCTGTGTCAGATTTGGTGTGGAACTATATGAACCGAAACTCTCAAGTCTTAAAACTAACCGTTCACTTGTCCAGAGGAAATGGAAGAAAACATTAGACGTGTGGGTTGATATTTCAAAGAGTAATTTTTCAAAAAATGTTTCTAAGTTACTAAACAGATGTACTTCTTGAAAATCCAGTCACTGCCCTAAGAGTAAGTAATGTAAATTTGGTGATCAACTTCTTTTATACATATTATTTATTTGCAGTTTTGGGGAGCCTACTGTAATAGTGAGATGATTATGATTAGCATAATAATGAAGAGTTACAGCACGACTGCCAAGTGAGGCATCACCTAATGGGATTTTAGTCACCACTAAATGGTAACTGCAAATCTAAGTATAATCTTAATTATCTTCTGGGGCATGTCTATGATGCAGATAAATTGTCTTCCTGCTGACAGTATTACGTAGTCAGAATGACCAGTCAGGATTTGTAAAGTTCATAGAATAACTATGGGTCTTGCCCCTGTGCCTACTCCTTTGCTAATTTTTGCAGGCGTTCTGCAAGAATTTTAAATATTTTGCCAAA